CAGGATTATTTGTTATAGCACAACTTATATTTCAAATGAAAAAAAAAAAACAACCCAAAAAACCCCAAAAACAAACAAACAAAAAAATTAGTATCATTTACAGTATCTCATGAAAAAACTTCCTTTGAATGGGAACTTCCTTTCCAGTATTTCTGAGGTCTACAAGATGCATCTAGAAAATTTACTACTGTGGAAAATGAAGACAGCTTAAATTGAATAAGGGGGGCATGGTTTTGTTTTTGTTTTGTTTTTAATTAATTGCTGTAACATTGTCCTTCAGGTGGCTGAGGAAGTTTCATATTTTCTTTAGACATCATTAGACGCCGAAGCTCTTGCAGAACAACTTTGATACTATAAGAATTCTGCCATTTTGCTAGGACTGATATGGCTCTGGGGTCCACCTAAAATAGACAAAAAGATCATTCCTGTCAGAATTGATATGTTTGATACACTTGCACCACCCCAAACCCTCCAACTAAAGAGCTTCTAAGAAATCTGAGTGGGAGAAACCAAAGCAAGCAGAAGCAAGCAAGCAGTTTCCTAAAAGCATAATAAATCCCTGCATGATGCAACTACTTGTGAGTTGCAAGAGGGCAGGAAAAGTTAATTCCACGTTTTGATTTGAGAACACACTTGGCATGTCCACTTCCCTCCTACCCCCTTTTGCTTCTCCTCAAGGCAAACAGCACCAGCAAGCAGTAAACAGTTAAGCAAGTTGTAAGTATAAAACAAAAGCATTAACTGGAAGATGCACATGAAAACCATGTTAAAATGAATAAAACCAAAAAACTTACCACTCCATTAGAACTATTTACTCCATTCATATTAATTTTTGTTACAAATCTTACAAATGGAGGTGCTTCTGGATACTTAGGCCCACATTCTATTTTAAGGCTGTATATTCTGTTTTCATAAATTGTCTGAGGGGAGAAGAAAGGGAGGAAAACAATTACATGAGGCAGTTCAGTAAGCATTCGGTTAAAACAGTGGTTACTTTAGGGACATCGTAACTACTTAACATGAGGGCAGCCACTTATATATTGTGCTGGCTACCTCTGTTTTGGGTTCATTTTCTAATATTCAGAGTATCATAGAATGGTATTGAATATTACCTCTTCAGGGTAATAAATTCTACTGGTCTTTTAAGCATTCAATTTTCACATAAAGAATGAAACTGGCATTGCTTCCATTCACCGACTGAAGTGATTCTTTTAATCATCATATATAGCTCAGATACCCACTTTTCAGCTATCTTTATGAAGCAGCTTTGTCTTACCAGTTTACTAACCAGACTCTCTTCCTTGAAATTGAAGCCATAGCTTTAACAGTTAGTTAGGAAACTATCTCATCTGCCTGCCCTAGAACTGCACTTCAAAAATACTCCTTGGTCTCCTTGGTCATAAACCAACCTGCTGGTTCTCAGAAAGGGGAATTCCTCCCATTGCAAAGTACATCCTGATCCCAAACAGCATTACCACCGTCTCCACAGCAGTAACACTTCACAGCTAATAGAAACCCTGGATCAAGAGCTCTTAACTAACTAAACAATGGAAATAGATGAGAGACTACAAGGCTACACTGAATCTTCAATATTTAAAAGTCATTAAAAGAAGCAACAGTTAAGGTTATTCTGCATTCTGAGAGTAACTCATTCTGATGTGCTGAGCCAGTGCAGCCGGCCACAGAGCTTCAGCTAAGCTGGGCAATGCAGGAAGCTGGCAGCAGCATACAACAGCAAAAGGATCATCATGGGCAAATTTAGGCAGGCAAGATCTCCATGTTCAGAGCTTCTGACACCATTTCCCACACCTCAATGCTGTAACAAACATTAAACTCACAAAGCAGTGACCACGAGCAAAAATCCAGAACGTGTGACTGCAGAAGCCCAGAAGCAGCTCCTCCTCACCTGTGGCAGCAGAGCAGAACGCTCCACCAGGATCTTAAGAACAGTATATTAGAACTCCTTGCAATCCCTCTCAGGGCCTGTTACGCCCCTGAACATCTTAGTATTTCCCTTAATGAGTATTTTGATGCAAACCACTACCAAAAACCTAAGAACTGACTTCCTGGCTTGGCTGCTTCTTATGTGTGTGGATGAAGGGGCTTCCAATCAGCACTGGCCAGCGCTGGCTGGCACCAGTACCTCTTGGTCACTCCCCCAGCGCCTCAGGCAGCCAGCCTTTCAGATACCAGCAAAGGCAGGGACAAGCTGAATGCTGTGACAAAGTTCTGGGGGGGGAAAAGTCATCTGTCAGCTCTGCTCAGGTCTGCTGAGCCCCTGAGCGTGTGTGGCCCACAGGGCAACTAAGAGCCCAGAGGTTCATGCAGGTTTTTAGGGTCTTTGCCAATAACCACACCACGTGAGGACTGGTGAATGGAATCCCTTGCCTGTGCACATGTCCACAGCCAATATAAAATACGTGCAGATAAAGCTGAAGTTGTGACAGTGCCACTGTTTTTAAATAGCTTGTATAAACAAGATGAATCACTGGCTGCAAAGCTATCTGCACAAAGTCTGGGAAGGAGAAGGATGCTTCCATGTATGGTAGCAGGGATATTCAGAGCAGCAGCATGTATCTAACTCTGCACCACGATTCATTTTTCTCTCTGGGATGCCTACGATAAGACTCTTCCACCTGCTCCAAGTGTGACTGCTTTCTACCCAGAAGGAAATAGGATTTTCATTTTTATTCCCCCATTGCCAGTATTCTCACATCCTAGTCAGGAAAAAAAAAATGGTAATAATATAACCAAGAACAGTACTGAAAGCAGGACAGTCACTTATCAAACAAGAATGACTCGAAGTTCCCAGAATCTCTCCCAGTACAGCCCATTGCCTTCAAGCAATAAGAAAGCATGATGCACTTCGAAAACATCTATATCCTTAAGTGTGCCAGAAGGACAAAAGAGGCACAGCTGAACCATCTTCCGTGGTAGTCCTCTAGCCTTGGTTGGCAGTATGACATGAACTACACATTTCTATCACTTCTACTAAGTCAGCACATGTCTATTTGCACGCTGCAGTTTCTATTTAATTTTCTAAATTAGATTTCAAGGTTGCTTAAATTCTCCATGAAGTGTATGCACACAGCAAGCTTTCCTCAGTCTTACTGCTCATTAACGCTCTCCTAATGTTCTAGAATAAAATGCTGTTCTAGCAAATGATATCATAAACAAATGAAATGATCAAAAATGGGGAAATGTTAACACTGGCAGACAAAAAAGTAAACAACACTTCTGGATGGGAACACTGCACATGTAATGCCATTGTAATATGGATTCTTGTACAACCTCATGGCGTGGCAGAAAAGGCAACTGACAGAAGGGAAACACATAGGGCAGTAGCATGGTTAAAGATCTGCAAAGGTTTCCTTATAAAGGACAGAGAACACTGGAATTACTGGGAAGTGAAACTGAGGCCAGATACAGAAGACAACATCTACTATTTGCAGGAAGGAGATTCAGCTACTTGCACTACATGGCAAGGATATTAAAGACACAGAACAGAGATACACAGTGAAACCGGAGATAACAGGCAAGTTTTGGGTTTAGAATACATGCATACATACAAAGCACAGTAAGTCCTCAAGTTCACTACCAGAGTGGAGACCCACAGTTTAGTAGGGTTCGAGGGGAGAAGAGAGTTGAGAACGCAACAATACCACCACAAAGACGAGTAGCATTGTAAAAAGCTACTTTGGGAAAGAACACTAAGAAATTAAATTCATTAAAATTTGAGTTTCCCAAGTTAGCTGAAACTCTACAAGAGCAAGTCAGTACTGCTGCAATAAAAACCAACCCATGAACTCAACAAGAAACAGCAGAAAGACTAGCAGTACTGGACAAAACATCCATGTTTTACCTACATTAGCTCCACATGTAATCTCACTAGCCGAAGGATTTTAAACCTTGCTGTATTCAAGAGTACAGGATACTAGAATCCTGGAATCTCAAAAGTTATGTCTTAATGAATCTGTAAATATAAAGCAGACATGTAACAGAACTAACCAGAGAAAGGCACTAAAAATATTCCAAATTAAAAGCAAAAGACACACAGATACATGAACCCCATTATTACATGGAACTTGAACCTTCAACATAAATCACTAGCTAAAGTGTTTTTTTTTCCCCACTCATTTGTGTTCCCTTTGTTTTCTACTTCAGTGGTTAGGTTAAGGGAAGAAAAGGGAGAAGAGAAATAAGAGTAACAGTACTATTTTAATAGTTAAGCATATAACTTACTCTTGGAGGTCCAATAATCATTCCTGTCCATCTTGTAAGTGTCATGTCTTCGTCATCTTCAAGGCCCCAGCTAACTGTTCCATCACCTACTCCTTTCTGACCTTCTTCAAGTTCTTCCAACAGACGAAAATTACGAGGGACTTTTACTCCTGAAAAACATCAGAAAAACATTTTGAATTGAGAGATCCAGTAAACAAATGAACCCAAAGTAATTGCCCTGATACTTCTGGTCATTCTACAGCAAGCATTTTGGGTAAATCCATAAAAATAGCATCTGTTTTTCAATGACAACATTTCAACACTATGAAAAGGATATCCTCATACTTAGCTTGGATTTTACAAGCAAAATAAGGTATTCACAATTAAACACACTAGAAGGATGACAGGCCAGGTACTGGGGCAGGCAGTAAAATGACAGGAAATGTCTGTCCATTCAGAAATACACACAGTATCACAGAGCTCTAATTAGCACTTGTCTGTATGATTTATAGTACAAAAGCTTAGGAGATTCTGCAAAATCAGAGCTCAACAGCACCCAACTTACTCAGAGCTTTCAAAATACCATTCAAGGCAAATAAAACTCCAAACAGTAGTTAATCTGAAGTTAAATTAAGTGGGCTTTGTCAGCAGCAATAGCATTCTTTGTATGCATGACCTCCACCACCAAGGAATTTCTGCACTTCTTAGGTGTTGGTACATTTATCCTCAAAATATACAGCAGAACAGGAAATGCTCTTATTCCTATCAGAGACTGCAGACTCCAAGGTCAGTGAAGGAGGCAGGAGATGTTCCAGGTGCCAGAGCAGATTCCCCTGCAGCCTGCAGTGCAGGGCACAACGGGTGCTCCTGCAGCCCATAGAGGTCCATGGTGGAGCAGATCTCCACCTACAGCACGGGAGCAGAGGGATGCCCGAAGAGGCTGTGACCTCATGGGAAGCCTGTCCTGGAGCAGGCTCCTGGCAGGAGCTGTGGCCCTGTGGGGAGAGGAACCCAAACTGGACCAGGTTTGCTGCAGGACTGGTGACCCCGCTGGGGATCCATGCTGGAGCAGTTTGTTCCTGAATGACTGCACCCAACGGAAGCTGGCCATTTTGATACATGCATCTAACATAACATGTTCAAGAATATCCCAAGGAAGCATGATTCAGTAACACAGCTGTATGAAGAGAAACCTGGAGTCCAAATAATGGCACCAGAAGAGGCGAGACCTGCACTGGCTACACCAAACCACACATGTGGGGGCTGCAGAGCACGACTCAAACACAGCTCCATGCCAAATCTGCATCCTCAACTCTCAGGGAGACCGCACTGTTACCATGGCTGCTGAGTAATACCAATCTTTGGCTGCAAAAGGAAATGAGTCAGTTGGGGCTGGTGAAGCCATCCCCGTAAGATTAACCAAGCCCCAAACCATCAGTGGTAAGATGACCTCTTGGGAATCACTGTTGCTTCCCCTGCTTAAAAAGCTCCAGCATCTCCCCTCTCAGCAAGTCTTAGAAGTATGCAGTGTGTACTTTGTGTACCTCAGGCACATGAAGATTCAAGTATGCAGCTCATACCTGAATCATGATTAGCCACCCCAGTTTTAACTACATTCCCAAAACTCTCCATGCTGTAGCTAGAGGAAACAGAGAAGAGAGCAGTCTACCTCCAACAGGAACAACTGGAGTGTGAGTTGAAGGACAAGGTTCCACCTTTACTTACACACACAACCTATTTCACTACTGCAGCAGTGGATGCATGGGAGCGCTGGTGATGGGGAATGACTCACTGCTGTGATGCCTGGAGCTGCTGTCTGGGTTTCAGCCCTGCCTGCTGGCGCCTAGGGAAAGAAACAGCCAGCGAAGGAGGACAACGAAGAAGCAAAAGGTCCTTTTGGAGGGTGAACTCCACCCTTGGGTCTGACACAGAGCTCTTCAACAATGCAGGTGATGCTGCAAAGGAAACCGTCGTGGTTATTATTAGAGCCTCTCCCCAGTCACAGATGCAATAAGCTGAAGCCAGCAAAAGACCTGCCTTGAATGTGCCATGTTGCCAAGAAATGCTCACTGTGGACCACAACATCGTGATGCTTAACAAACATCCTCTCAAGTCTCTGTGCTTCAGCACTTGATAATACCACTCCATATTTACCAGTGGCTCAAAGATAATTTACTGATATTTACTTAGACCAAAGCAAATAACCCAGGAGGAATCAGCTTTATGGTAAGCACACACAGGCCACGCATTAAAGGAGGCAAAAAAAACATTGCCTGTCCACCCTCCCTCTGAGCATCACGTACCCTGTTCAGAGTGAGGCAGGAATCCCATGTGAAGAAAATTAAGTGATCATGTAATTACAAATGACACCATCACGTATATATTTGAGAAGGCCACAAGCAGGGTTGAAAGGCAGCTTTAATTGTGACATTTGCTAACCAGAGCTCAGCTTGGCTTTACAACCTTACAGGAAGAGAAGGCCACTTTATTTCTGAGCCCTCCCCAGATCCAGCTGCTCTGATTCAGCATGAATCAGAGCCACAAGAGTCAGACAGGATGGTAGAGTTCTGACAAGTCTGAGGTCTACAGAGAGCTAGCTAGTCATATCGTGCACTGGCTCCTATCACACAGGAGAAGTTAACGTAAATTAATCCTACTTTCACAATAACTGCTCACTTGTGAGCACTACAGGAGCATGAGTGGCAAAAGGAGGTGCCAAAAGAGAAGTACGTAATATTAAAGATATTATGCACGTCACAGAAAATAAAATTATCATGGGAGATGACTGGTCACTTTACAACAAACCACCCTGTCTAACAGCATCACTGCCTTCTAAAATGTTTTATCCCTATGCTAAAGCTCGGAGGTGCAACAGAAAAGCAGCACCTCAGCCACTACAGAAGGCAAGTTCAGGGCCAAATAAATGACAGCTCCTCCCTGACACTTTCTCAAGAGATTCAAGAGGAATAAAACCAAATCTACATGTAAAAGACTATGGCCATACAATCACAAATGCTTTAAATTATTTCCAAATAACCTGCCCTTAAGGAAGGCAGAGTAAAAGACCAGATTCACCCTTCTATCAGCCTGGAAAGATGCATGAAGCCATTAAGCCAACCTCATCTCCTCTTCACTTGCAATGGCCTGCAGCACTCATGGTCAGCTACCACATCCCACTGGGACCCCAACCCCAGAAACCACACAAGCTTTATCACTTATGGTTGCATGCAAACGTATCATCATTGATGTTCGCTCTCCACCAAGATTCCTAGAAAGTGACCTGTTCTAGGCATACACATTATTTGGTAAATGCTTTCTATGGCTAAACCATGGCAGATTCAGAGTTGGGAGATGTCCTGCACCAGCTGACACAACCCTGAGTCAACTACGTGTCATCTTCCCACCCTCCAGTAAATACCTTGCATAATCTTTTCAGGGTAGGAATGGAGACTTTCAAGGCAGTAACCAAACCAACCTGTTTTTCTAAGAGTCCTTCATTTAACACAAGAAAACCTAAATAAAGTAAGAGGCAATTAAAAAGTAATCAGTTTGTTGAAAGTACATTGTTATGCATTTTAATTTAGCCTTTGCTATGGCTCAAGAAGACTCTCAAATAGCAGTTTGAAACAAACACAGTAATATCTAGAAAATAGCTTCACATGCAGCTTGCCTGACCACAGTGAAACACTTGCAGAAATGGAACTGAAAAAGCATTTCCAAGCAAAAGGAGGTATTTACTATTAATTGCAACAGCAAACCTATGAAAGTTAAATGATAACTGTACTGACAACGTAAGACCTCCAATGACACAGGTTTGTGCAGTCTTTCTGAAAGCTCACCTTTTAGTAAAGGTGCATTTGTGAAGCCTCAACCCTGCACACTAGTTCACCAGCTACAAAAAGTCCATTAACTGTTTCTATGGAAAACCAGAGAACAAAACTAAACCACACACTGGGTTTCCCAGAAAGTGAGGACGTGTACTTTACAGAGTTCAAAGTTGCACTTAAGAAGCTGTTAGGTTTTGGATGACATCCTCTTCAGCCTTCAAACAGAATCAGGACCTTCTGGTTTCACCTAATACCAGAGCTGCCAGGCAAGACCAGTAATGATGAGCCTTCACTACCACAACTCCTCACAACCCAGTTGCTTGCTAAGCAGTGAGCTGAAGAAAGAGACAGCAAGCTGAAATGAGGACACGAGGAATTTGACTGTGTCCGGTCAATCTCAGAGAGGAAAGTTCTGTACTTGGAAAGAACAGAATTATTCCTGGAAGACAGTTAAATGCCAACTTGGATTCTTAAAGTCCTTAAAACACACTCAGATTTACATCACAGCACTACTAAAGATATACAACTGAATGTGTCTTACGATAGTTTACCAGCCTGAGGTTTTTCCCATCTTGAATCTACATCCATGTGAAGTATATAATTTGGTTTTAACAAGTTACAATCAACCCTCTATGACAGACTATGCTTTTTAATCTTCCATTTTCCCCAGTTATATAGCAAAAGCAATTCCATATTCACAGAAACCTTAACAAGCTGAACACAGCACAGTGAAGCAAGGTGGACAACGTGCCTCTGAGTGTAGACCCTCTACTTGAAACATTTTCATCAATGTCTGTAGAACAAAAAAATACACCTCAAAAACTTCAGGAATACATTTCTCTTTCCTTTCTAAAGTGAAATCAAGTTATAAGCATTTCTCTTCAGGATTAAAGGACAAATACAAGGCCCAGCAAAGCACACAGAAAATGCACTTCACTCGTTAGGGGCTCTAAGGAGGGGAACCCTCATTTTGCTGAAGATTACTTGACACCTTCACTGGTAACACGCAACTTATCCAAATGCCCTTTCAGGCCAATTTTAGCTGCTTCTGTACTAGCTCCCAATTTACAGTAACTCAAGTGAGCTGAAATTCAACAGCTTTTAACACCTCTGTTGCTCAATACGTTAAAGCCCCTTCCATTGCTTGTTTTTTATGTATCTGATACTAAGCCCTAATTACATATTTTCCAATATATTCCTCATCTTTTTGCAGAGACTGCAACTACTGAAAATCTGACAGCTGACCCTTGCAGCACTGCCACTGTAAAGAAATAAAATCATTCCTCATCCAGTGGTATAGAAAGTTTCTGAACTGACAGAATATTTAAAACTGAGTAAAAGGCTTTTAGCAACTGTGACAAAAACTTTCAGGAGACAGGAACTTCAGATTTCTTGCATCATCTTTATAGTCATGATTTCCACTCTGATAACACAGACAGGTACCGAATTACTGTGCAGATCCAAAATAGCTTCCTGAGCACTTGAAACAAACTGAAGTGTTTTCTGTTGTGTAAGCTAGAGAACTGGTTCTGTCTTTCAACACTTTAAGCACTTTACTTGGAAAGAGATCATGTTAAAATATTTGTCTGAGGCAGACTGGCAGCATCACTGAGGTCTGGAGCCAAATACATCTTGTCAGATGCAGGAGAGTTAAAATCAGATGCATTCTGTGGCTTATATCACAAGTGAAAAGCAAAACATTACCAGCTCAGCTAGAAGTTAATTCAGAAAATAAGTCACCTTGAACTAACATCATGGACAAAATCTTTACACGAAATCTCAAGAGGGAAAACCCCACCATCTCCTCTTGGCATTGTGAAAAGAAACGGATGTCACTGACTGAGAGCCCAGCACTCTCCTCCAGCTGCCTCTTCTGTCACAAAGTATTGCTAAGTTTTCTTACACTCACACCACCCACCAAGAGGCGAGTGCATGAGTAGGCTCACTGATTCAGAGATAGGCTTTGAAGAGCAAGATGCCACACTGATAGACTAAGGCAGTGTTACCTGCTCAGTACAGCTTTAACAGCAGAGCTAAGCACAGGCGGGCAGAGGCAGGATGCACACTGCTGGGCTTTGCTTCTGGGCCAGGCCCAGGTCAGACCTGGGAGGAAAGCACACAAACTCATCAGTAGGTGCAGACAGAGTAATTCCAGCTTGACTTGCAATAGTTAAAAAACATCCTCACAACCTGGCAATTCCGAACTTCACACACCTTATCTGCCGGTATTATATCTTCTATGATTCTTCGCTACTTACATATTTAATACAATAACAAATCATTCTAAATTCTCAGCCAGAATGGTGTTTTTCAAATGTTATGTAACTTACATCATTATATATTAAAAGATTCAACTGAGTATCTTTTTGTAAATCTTAAACTATTTACCTTTTTATTTAATCTGCTGCATCCTTCCATTACAATACTCAAAGAAGCTTTCAATCTTTAGCACCTGCTATTTCGTGTGCTCTTACAGTCTATCTCATTTAAGAAGGCATAATTTATCTTCCTATTTTCTCTTCAATTACTTTTTCCCTACCCTTGAGTATGTTACTTACAGACTTAGAAAGTACTCAGTGGCTGGCAATATTTATTTTGAGATAACAGTGACTGTTGTGTGCAGTGCCCTCCAAAGGAGACATCACGGTCCATTTGCAGAGGCAGGTACACCTTCCATACCCTTCAATACGCAGTTTCTTCCTCACTGTAATGTTGCATTTGCTTTTTGCAAGCATAGATTTGAGTACACAGTAATGTTATGGGTCCCTCAACAACTATAAATGCATACTTTTAATACACTGTACTAAAACTGAGCTGTGCTCTTCTCTCCATTAGGAGTATTAAGATACATGTATTAGCACTATCGTGACTGTACACCTAATGAATCACCCTTCTGTAGTTCTTCACATTCCTCTGACTTCGCCTAGCTTTTATGTGGGGATATCATTTTACTGTTCAGTGCATCCAGCCTGTTGGTAATCACCATATCTACCACAGCCCTGCAAGAGACCCCCTAAACAGACCTGGGAGAGAAAAGTGGGTTGAAAGAAATCGTTAAACTTTCTCCAGGATGAAAGTTAGAGAAACAGGACTTCACAGGCCAGCATGGTCAGGATTTGACCCACCATAATATCAGAGTATGCAGGACAGCAACATGGAGCAAGCTCCTGTAGTCTAACTGCAACACAGACTCTCCACACAGCTCAACTTCCCTGCAGGGCCATGGGGTGCATGAGCCTCTGAGGAGCCCTGGATCTCTCAGGTAGATCACCTCTGGTACCTGAGCTAGCTGAGTGCTTCTGCGTGACACTTCAGTCTGAAGGACGGATAGACATAAACTTACAGTTTGATCATAGCCTCCCATGAAGGGCCTTATTAGAATGATTAAAGTCAACCCTTTCTTTTTATCAATATATTAATTGTATGTGTGGAAATCACACATCATCAGCAATGCAGAACTCTATATTTGTATGGATAGTTAATCTTCCTCCTAGTAGCTGTGCTGTGTTTTGGCTATAGTCTGAGAATAATGTTGATAACACACTGATGTTTTAGTTCTTGCTAAATAGCACTTATCCTGATCAAGGACTTTTCAGTCTCTTGCTCTGCCAGTGAGGAGGGGCACAAGAAGATGGAGGGAGCACAGCCAGGACCTGAACTAGCCAAAGGGATATTCCATACCATAGAACAGCATGCTCAGTATATAAAGTGGCGGGAGTTAGCCAGGAGGGGCTGATCACTGCTCAGGGACAGGCTGGGCATCAGTCAGCAGGTGTGAGGAACTGTACTGTGCTTCACTGTTGTTTGTTAGTTGGCTGGGTTTTTTGTTTCTCTGTTATTTCCCTTTTCATTATTATTACTGTAGTTAGCAGTAGTATATTATATTTTAATTATTAAACTGTTCTTATATCAAAACATGGGTTTTACCTTCTTCCTGATTCTGTTCCCCATCCCACTGCTGGGGGGCAACTGATACTGCTGGACCTTGCATCATAACATTTCTTCCAGGTGAGGGCAGTTTTCTTCTCCTGTTAATAATTTCTACCTGTTTAGTAGATACAGGTATCAGGCTTTCTTGTCTGATTCCCACCACCAGCTCTATGACTTCCTTACGTTCCACAGACATTTGTTACCATTTCTTCCTCTGCGTCAGTAGCTGATTTTAAACACAGCCTCATTTTCTATCCTCAGCCTCTGTTTAAGCTCCTTTGCTGAACTCATGGTATCAAACATATTCAAGTGGTTATTATCAGCAACTATGAATAAATTAAGGTTCCACAAAACAAGTATTAGCAAAATCTATTTTACATCTGAGTAAAAACACTACTAAGCTACTTGCCCACAGCGAAGTGAACAGTGATAGAGAACAACGTGCTGTTATTTGTATGTGGTGGCTCTATTTGTATGTGCTGGGCAATGCCTTCAGTGCAGTGTCAAGAGGGAACAGTACAAACTGCATTGCAGTGCCACCACCACCACCAGTAACTGGACACTATGTTGTACTCTTTATCAGGAGAATCTCCATCATTTACTAATATAAGAAGAAAACCCAGACCACTGCTGGTAAGGCAGCCCATGATTTACAGCCAGACAAGGCTCTGAGGCTCAGTGTAAGATGCTGGTCTGTACCTGAAGGTTCTCTCAGACTGAACTAGGGGTTTACTGCAAAAGTTCACTTACTGCAACATGTTTGTAAGTCACAACTGATTTATTCTCCACCCCAATCTCCTCAGCAGCAGTTAAACACTCAGGATATCACAAGTAGCTGAACGGCAGCGCTTGTCAAATGCCCACACTACAGACACAAGACACGGATGCCCCTACCCACATCCACCTGGCTGTGTACTGCTTCACACTTCCAGCACTGAAGAGACAGCTTTCAGAAATCCCTGCAGTAGTAGGAAGCAATCCAAAAGACACCATGTGGCTAGCAGATGATGGTTAATGGCAGCTTATCACAAAGACCACTGGCTGCAAAAGAAAAGCTGTGCACAGGACTAGCTTTGGGCTTCACCACCACAGTCCGAGCCCCTTTCCACACATATCCCTCCATGACCGCTCAGACAACTAATCCACGAAGCTGCACAATAGAACACTTGCCTTGTTCCTCCAGCCAAACACAAACTGAAAAGTCAGCAGCTTGAGAGGATTATTGGGAAAGCATGGCCGCCAGAACAATATGACACAGGAGGGGGAAGAAGGCTCCGCTATATTTTTTGTGTATTTTAATCAAGTGTTCCAACACCTCACCATCAGGTTACGCTCAAACACAGATCTGTAAAGCACAGTTCTCAGCACAGCATCCACTGCATTTTGCAGCCTGTATTCATAATCTTGATTACTACAAGATATCTGCATTGCAATGGTTATTCTTAAAAGTTGAAACATTTCTAATAGATAGGTCTCTATTAATGACAAGAACTGCAAGATATTTTTGTTATATCTTCAAGAGAAATCTGGTGATTTCAAACTTGAGAGGAAGCAATTTTAAGACAAGTATTACAGTGGCACACGGAAAACCCCATATGGGCCTTATGAAAACAGGAAAATGAAACACGCTAAACAGAAGTGAAACTAATTTATTCGATCTAAGTTCATTAAATGATGTCAGCAAAGAACACCCCACTCAAGATCTAGTTGCAGTATTTCTGTTTAACATGCGATGCTAAGTGGAAAGACAGGATTTGTGTCACTATTCAAAGAGGGCGAGAAGCAATTTTAAAGGCAAAAAGATATATATTGACTTCTGGAAGCACGCACATCCTGACAAGGAAGTTCCATTGATGTAACAGGAAGATGTTATTAGTGAATAAGGTTTTTAAAGCCACTGATTTCACGCACGTAACTTAAGTACCGGCTCAGAGACCACCGCGAACAGGGAACCGGGAGGGCACCTCCGAGCACACGGAGCTCACCCGCAGAAGAGGAGCCAGCCCGGCGGCCCTGCGGTGCCGAGCCCAGGTTCAAGCCGCCGCGCCGGGCTCGCTCTGCGGCTCAGAGCGCCCAGGCCCGAACCGCAGGGCCGGGCCGAGGGCTGCGGGCCCGGACGGAGGGGTCCCTGCCCGGCCGTAGGGCCCAGCGCGCCGCCCCAGCGTCGCTTCCCGGAGCCGGCACACAGAGCGCCGGGGCACGCTTCCCGCCGGGCCGGCTCCACAGGCCCCTCCCGGCCCCGGGCCGGACTCGCCCCGTCGGGGCCGCTCCCACCGCGAGGCCTCGGCAGCCCCCGGGGAGGCGCCGGCCGAGCCCGCCCGAGCGCCGCGGGTTAGGAGCGGGGACCGGCCCCAGCACCGCGGCCAGGCACCAAACCCCTGCGGGCCGCGCCCCTCGGGCCGGACCCTCCGCCGCCGCCGCCCCTTCCCCCGCGGCCGCCGCCGCCCTCGCCCCTTCCCCGGGCGCCTCCCGGCCTAGCGGCCGCCACCGCCCCTCCGGCCCCGACACGCCCAGCCGGGCCGCCCGCAGCCTGCCGCGCCGCCGCCCGCACTGCCCGGAGCTGCCCCGCAGCGAGAAGCGGCCCCGGCCGGTCCCCCCAGCCCGCGGCCCTACGGCCCCGCCGCCCGCTCACCCGCACCCGTGGTGGCCGCCATCTTGCGCCGCTGCCGCCGGAGCCCCGCCCCCTGCCACACGTCAACGCAACGCGGGAAGTGCAGCTCCGAAGGCGCGGCGCGGGCGGGCGCGCTAAGAGGCCGCGGCGGGCGGGGTTAGGGAGCTGCACAGAGAGCTCTGTGGTACAGGCAGGGAGCTTGCAGAGCTCCACTGCGCGGGCGGGTGTGCTCCCCGGGGTCCGAAGGGGGGCCGGCGGTGGGGAGTGCCTCTGCGCAGCTCCAGCGGGAAACCCTGGGGGAAGGAACCCCAGCGAGCCCCCCCGGGGCGCTCTGAAGCACCAGAGCACTCAAGCATTGTCAACCCCATAAAACTCAATGCAATTAATATGAGTAATTGGCAAGCTATGCTCATTACAGCCAGAGCACAGCAGCATTAGTTCTCCTACTGCTTTCAGATAGTCATAGCCGCTTTGTAATGCTCTGATGCTGCTCATGCATTTACATCAGAACCTCGTCCTGTGATGCTCAGTGAAGGGAGGCCACAAGACACAGCTCAGCACTTTGAACCTGGAGTAAGGCAGTTCAATTTGCTGCCCTCCAACACTGACAGACGTGCACCAGCCTCCTCTGCAGCTGCCCCAGCTCAGCCCTAGGGTGCGGGGTCAGGGCTGCTGCACGGCGGGCACGTCCACGGCACAGCACAACAGTGCAGACATGCAGGGGCCCAGAGAACCTCCCTGTGCTATGGGAGACATGGACACAACCACACACACTGCCTCCTTGTGTCTCATACACAGCTATGAAAAACGCCTTTTGGCCTAAAATAGTATGAATCCAGAAGAGGCATCAGGAACATCAGGAAGAGGCACAGTGCTGTGTTTTAACCAGCAGCACATGTTCCACTTCCTCCGGTTGAAACAGTAGTAAGACGGGGGTGGGGGGAAATGGAAAAAAGCAAAGAGGAGGAAAATGAATTCTGCTTTGTCTTGCAACACCTGATCTGAAAACTGTGCCCCAAGACATCAGAACAATTACAAGACAAAAGGTTTTGCAGACCCCTTACATTTGAGGTCATTTGCTCCTTTAGGCCAGCTTCAACACACACAGCTGTTAGCAGCCATCAGAGGCAAGGTATCAGATATTCTTTGAAGCTACTTCAATCCAGCCATGCTTCCGCTGCCGGCTGGGTGTCGTTTCATTCACCTCCAGCACCGCGCATCGGACGGCAGCTGAAGGCACGCACAGCGCCGCTAGGTGGCACCCGAGCTCAGCAAACCTGCCCGGGCCGTGGGGAGCAGCCCCAGCAGAGGCCGCGCTGCCGCCGCGGCCGAGCACACCCCGCGTAGCGATGGAGAGAGATGCTCGGTGTCAAGCAGATGGAGACCTTCTTGCACCCAAATGGGTATCAGCAGCTTTAGGGGGCAAGGTGAGTGACTGGTTTAACCCCCTACCGACCACAGCTCCCCTTCCACTTATGCCTGCTGCTAGTCAAGCTCCAGGAGAACATCACACTGACAGACATCGCACCTGAGCCAAACATCTTGGTCCTATCTTATGTAGACAAGTCTGATGCCTGTTTGGTGCACGGCTGTTCACACAGGACAAGTCCTGGACCTTGGTTTTAACCCCTTTTTTAGATGGGACAAACCCACGCCAGACACACTTCCATCCCCACCATGGTCCTCAGGCTGGCTCAATGCCCCCTTTCCTCACATGGTGGCTGCTTCACCTTTGTTCAGCAAATGCTATCTCTGAGCAGGGCTTCTTGTTCTCCAGTACTGCACGGAGGCAGCAGACAGGTCAAGGCTACAGACACGGAGCGACAACACTGGTAACTTGCTCCAGCAGCAAATTGAAACATTTGGAAGCCAAGAGGCACCAGGAAGCTGAGCAGTTTGAACTGTGGCCATGGGGACATCAAAGCAAACAGCAAACCCAAACCCACCGGGCTGTCCTGAACACTGCTTTAAGAAAAGGCTGAGCAGGATTTTAAAGACTTGCAGTAATTTGTCCACAGAGTGCAACGCTTCCCCATGCAGGTGAGTCCCCGGCCAGCTCTGCAGTTCCACAGGTACACCTAGAGAAATACACCTACTCCTGCTAGGCCCCTGCATGGCCACGTGTAGCCAGCTCCTTGGAAGGCAACTACAGACTTGGGAGAAGCTGAAGGCCTGGAAGGACTTCTTCTGTGAGCAGGAACCTGACCACATCCTTCTGCAGAGGTGAGAGACTGAATTAAAACCACTTTCAAAAGCATTTACACTGTAATGCAGGCCATGTCTGCAGAGTTTAAAAGGAGTCTCTTATTCTGCTTTAGCTCTAATCCGTTCCTAATTAACTTAAGGCAAATTTATCTTTAGCCAGATTTACATATGCTAAGAGGGATCCACACAGCCTTTTGCTCCAGAATTGCCATACTGATTTTGTGGAAGCATTCACTACTTTAAAAGGGTGGAGTGGTTTCCAGAAGCCAGCATGAAGACCAAGGTATTCATTAATACCTTGGCTTGTTCTTTGGTCCTCCAAGGGCAGGAAGCTTTGTCATACACCTCGACTCACAGCAGAGAGGGAAAGATGAAGGACTACAAAACCAGAACTTGCTCAGGGCCATGCCCCAGGCCGCTGCCTTATGAACAGTGATGTGAAGACAGGACCCTGGGAGGGTCCAGCCACGTCAGTCACCTTGGGTCACCCTGAGCAAGAGCTGCCTCAGGAGTGGAGCACAGCAGCAGCATGGAAAACAGCATCCAGAGATTAACAACTGCCCCAGTTTCTCGTAATTAAGATTAACAGCTTGATAGTCCCAGCCACCACCAGTATTAGCAGCTCAGATTTGCTTCCAGGAAGACCACAGATCAAGTGGCTGAGAGAGGTCTGGGGAACAGCAACTGCCTTTAACAGCACCGCTGAAGTGAAATTCTAATTCTTGAAAATCTAATAATTCATGTGCTTCAGATCCACTGGTTACTGCAGCACTGCTGTTCACTTGGCATTTCAGTTTGCAGTCAGATGCGCTCCCAAACAACCTAGAGCTTCAGGCTGTTTTACACAGGAGCCCTGAGCATCCACCCAGATCTGTACTGGGCTTTGACACTGGTTTACCTACCTCAAACTGGGGCTGAGGGTGAGGAAAGGGATGAGGGCAGGAGGGACAGACAAGTGATGGCTACAAATCTGTTAGAATATGGATTATGGGAGTCTCAAGATGGAAGCACTGGTGAATCTAACTGCTGTTGAGATGGCAGAAATAACCACTGCAGTTCTTTGTACTCACAGCAATAGACATTGTTTCCTAAGCACTCCTACACATCTAAGCTGCAGGACACCTACACTGGAAGGGGAGGAGAGGAAGGAGAAGCATTCTTTGCTCTGGACACATTGTAGTTTGCATTCTCACACCAAAGAATTTTAAAGTAAGCTACAGCCACAAACAGCAAGTATTAACAGAACTGCCCCCATGGCAGGGGAGTTGGAACTAGATGATCTTAAGGTCCTTTCCAGCCCTAACTATCCTATGATTCTATGATTCATAGTAATGACTGCCACACTAACTTCCACAGGAGTGAAAGTTACCTTTCTCCCCACCCAAATTTATATTCATATCAATTCGTTAACGTAACACAGTTCTCAGTGCCTGGAAATTAAAACAAGTAGAGATCAAACTACTGGGAACAACTGTGCCTGCAGGTTTGGCACAGAACCACCCCTCCTCAATGCAAAGGATCTGGAAGCAGCAGGCAATAATTAACAGTATTGAGGGAGTATTTCTCCCTCTTCCTCCACTTTCAACTAAATTCATTTTGAGACTCCTATAAACACTTCTGCTGGAAGTGTTCTTTCCTGTCAAAGCTATGCAGGGATGTGATGTCAACTGGGACAACTGAAACAGGTAAGTTTCCTGTAATGGTATAAAGTTCTCCAATGGGTTTGGAACTTGATGCAAACCACTCTAAGGGCCTGAATCATTTAAGCACATTAAATATTTTGCAACCAAGGTACAACTCCGATTTTGGTCTGCAGAACCCAGCTCAGACACAACCACATCCAGCAGTTTCCACTGGAGGAGAGCTGCCAAGTTCCAACACTTTCAGAAGCTGTGGTCCATCAAGATTAAGATTAGTGTAAGCCTATGACTCCAAACCACCTTACTGTGCTGTTCAGGAAGAGTTTGTATTCAACACAATTTACAACTAGGGAAGGCAAAGCAGTCTTAGATTTGACCATCTGTAAGTTTTCATTCAGGAAAGAATTCAACAAGATCCAAATTGCAGTAACATGATAAAGTACCCTTAGATGTTCTATGGGGAACTTTGCCCATCCCAGTCCAGCAGTTACTCCTTAGCATCCAAAGCAGAGTTAACTGCACTTCTTGAAAGGTGTTGAGGTCTGGCCTAATATAGTGTCAAGCTCTTAGAGAGCTGACTAGCAACTGATCACTTCAACCTAAAGATGATGTAACAGGCTGCAAAGTGTTTTAGGTGGTCTGAATAGCACAAAGCATTTTACAACCAGTGATCAAGCTCTTGGGCTAAGCCCTGACAATGCATGAATGAAGAACAGCAACAAGACTTAACAAACATGATTAGTATTATCCAACTGCTTTGTTATAAATATATTATATACATTCAAACATCACATTAAAATATTATTCCATTACACCAGAAGAGATTAAGGCTTTATATTATTTACAGAAACAAGCAAGCACCTTAAAAAAAAGAACAAAACGCCAGTCATTGACAATTTCCCTTCTAACATTACAATTTGATACCTTGAGCTCTTGAATACAGCTATTTGCAATGTGCCCAATACTAGAACTATTTTAAACATTTATTGTCAGGGTAGGGAACACTTAACAGAAGACTCATCAGCGAGCACTCCGCATGAACAAACGCGAGCATGTGTCGTACTGGGTGCCCTCCCTCTTCTCAGAGGCTTCGTACGTTGAAGGCTTATGCAGAAACAGCTCAGTTCCACGTAGAGAGTAGAACAACTTTATTTTAAGGGAAACTGAAGACACTTGAGGATTTGTGGCCCACTGGTGGAGCAAGATTCCCAAAGTCTGTCCCACATTAGATCAATTCAATTCAACATAATAGAGCTGTAGGTTTATCGATCACTAAGTGCATTGAACAGTGATTATTTTATAGGCTTCCATTATTCTGACACACTGTTTTCATGCAGTGTACTTGGACTCAAACACACAGTGACACACTGCTGTCACCATTCTCCCTGTAGGTCTTAGGCAACAAGCTGTTTTTGAAGTGTTAAATAATGTTGATACAACACATGTTTACTACGCCACCATGTACCAATGGAGTGACTGTCCTGCCTTCTGGCTTGCCCGATAGCCTTTTGAGACACAGTGATGAAGTACTTCCTAAGATGTAAGCAGACACGGCCAAACAGAAAGGTGCTCAGTAAGAGTAATCATCTCCATTTCAAGTATCATTTTAAGAATTAGTTCATTTTGTTGCAGTCTGTTAGCACTTTTTAGTTTGTGCTTTAGAGTCTGTTATTTCTTTGCAGGTCTTGAATTTGGCTGATGGCTTTGTATTTAAAAAAAAACAACATTGGCAACAAGTTAAGGATTGCAGAAGGCTGGCAAAAGTTACTTAATTTTCTGAGCCCATTTCATGTCATCGGCTCTTGGCTTCTCCCCCGTAACTGCTTGGATAATGTTCTCCAAACACCTCCAGAATCTTATCTTCTCTAATGGATAGTTCAGCCAACCTAAGTGATTGCAAGGGAAAAAGAGGATTAGTTTCCAATAGCATCCAAAGTTCAATGTCTTGCAATGCTTGTTTAATAACATTCTTTAAATTAAACAAAGTAAATGAGAGGGCAATGGACTAATCTATGGCCATTGCAAACCTATCCGAAAAGAACCATCAAGTTGAATGAAGCAAGAGATTTTCCTACAACCAGGAAGAGATAGATGTATACAGGGTTATATTAGTTATCCCACACTTACAGAACTGTTCTGTAAGCGTATGTTATACTTGGCTCCATGTACGTTTCTCTTACCACAATGGAAACAGTGAGCTAGAAGTTTATGTTAGAGGGAAGAGCTGAAATGCAGGATAGTGCAAGCAAGACAGGAACCCAGGAAAGCTGCTGCAACCAGCTCTGTCAGCAGCAGGAAAAGAGCTGCTCTTGCTGGTGATGTCTGAGACTGTGTACAGCTATTATGGGACAGAAATACTAAAGGCAGAACATTCACGGCTGAAAATGTGTTTCTAGAGAGCTAGACCATTCCTAACCAGAGACAGCTACAGCTACCAAAACAGGAACTATTTTCAGCCACCTTTTGTAGTTGAAGATGTCCTTTCCCACCTCACCTGTGATCCTGCAGCTCCACTAACTCACTGTATACTGATGCCCCTTAGGAAGTCAGCCCATGCAATTCTCATTAAACCCAGCCAGTAACCCTCAAGGAATGGATGACTCCTTCCTGGTGTCTAAAAATGGTAGTCAGCCTGAAAGCTTTAACATTGGGAATGCTAGAAAGCTCTGTTATCTGACCCCATCCTTGGCAATGATACAGTGGCAGACCTTTATGTACACAGGTCAGCCATGAAACCAAGTATACTCTTGGGACTTGGCTATCTACTCAAGTCAAGTCACTAACAAGTGCCTCACAGTAACTAGTCATATTTCATTCGGTAAAGGCCCCTTTTAAATAGTGCATTGATTGCATATTTCTGTTGTCCTCCTCCTTTCTATCCTAGAAGAAAGAGAATTGGGGCTGCAGAAACACTTTGTTCCAATGGAAAGTTGAAGCATACAATCTGCATGCTGTGCTATGTCAGCCTAGTATGGTATGAACACTTACAGAAAGCACAGAGTGAACAAAAGCACATGCTTTTTGGTTTTTAAATGAGAAATGAAAGCAACTAGCCTAAGACTGCTGGTAATGGCCAGGCTTAAACTTTCAGGACATAATAGGACTGGAAAAAGCTCTTAAGGTGGCAACGTTTTTGCCATCTGTCAAGTCACGCTTCTTAATTGTACCATGTTTTTACATGACATTCTGGTCATGAGAATTAGGTTTGTTTCCTAGCAGAGATTTCAAAACCATCAGAATCTGTGTGTTAAAGCCAATGACAGAACGAAGAATGCAAGTGGTTTATTTCCAGCTCCCCAGTTAACTTGATGCAGGACTGTGCAACACTGGTGGGCAAGTACACCTGCCCATACAATGGGCATAAAACGAAATATAGATATAAGAGGAACTGAAAGGCAGGTTTTTGTAAGCTCTCACACTCCTCTGCCCCAAATCAGAATGGATGAAGATTGAAAATCCTGAAGCCTTGCTTTAGAAATGAGCATTCAAGGTAAGCTGCACTTGCAGATGATGAGCAATTTTGATGGAACAACAGCTTTGAGACTTTAATGAATGAAATCCATTACTAGCGCGAGATTACCAAGGTACCATGCAATTGGATCTCAGTACCACTAACTACCCTGTCACCACTAACTACCCTGTCACCACTAACTACCCTGTCAGGCTGAAAGTTACCTTTTAGTCAATCACAGACCTTCCCCCCCCATTTTTATGCAACAGAAAACTAGTTTTGCCAAGAGCACAATTAATTTCACCATGTCATTTTGTAGGTATTTAACAGGCTGTCACTAAATTACATATTGCCAGGTAAACTGCACTAGCCTACTAAAGAGAGGGTGTAGTATGAACCAAGTGGCAGTACCAGTTGTAATGCAGAAGTATGTCTCGTGTGGAGACACATGATGGATCCTGTGATGCTTCCGTGGAAGGATAATGTGCCAGTCCTGTAGGAATATGACCCAGCGTGGAAGACCAAAGTACGTGTGAGACCACTTGTGAATCTGGTTCGTCATGGTTATGAAGATGATGAGTGCAAAGACATAACACTCCCAAGGACACGTTTCATATAATGCCTCTGCAAAACAAAGATGTGTATCTTTACCATTTATGAAAAGGTAAATTTCTAGTAGGAAGATGCTGTCTTGCCCAGAGAGAGATGCCTGGTGCTGCAGGGACTAACAAAGGCCCCAACCAAGCTGCTTTGACAGAAGCATCATGAGAGCCAGTGAGCCATAAGCAATTCCAGAATTGTCACAAGACAGGCTGGAAAGCACCAGTGTCTGACAATGTGTAATGTGCTATAAACAATAAGTTCAACACTGAGTTTACCATCTATAAGATTACATTAATTCTTTAATTCTCCCACTTCCAGTTTGCAAGTGTTTCTATAAAGAGGAAGCATTTTTACACACTTCAGAACAATGAGTTCCTCCATACACACAGTTTGATCCCTCTTATAAAAGTAATATTTACTATAACTTCTAATGCTTCCTTGCAAGACTTCAGCCACAGACTGTCTGTTGAGCCAGAGCATCTAGCTGCCCCACCATCAAGGAAAAGGAAGGTTTCCCTTTCTCCTCCCAGGAGCGTCCTGCTTCCAAGAGCTATTACTTGTCCTCTTGCATTCACTGATTTCTCCTAGCTTCACACAGAGAAATGCTCATTTAAATACCAACACAAATGCTAAATGCACACAAGTCAGAAGCAAGAGCTTACCTGGGGAAAAAGAAACAAATTTGTACGCCATGTTTGCCAATGGGACCAGTGTCATAAAACAGTTATCTCCATTGGTCTCTATAAAATCGTGTCTGGTAATCGCTGTGGGGTCAATGTGATGTTCTCTAAAGGGTCTGATGAAAGCCTGAAAAAACCAAATTGACAAACATGAAACCATGGCTCCAAAATGATCTTAGAAAGAAAACTATTGAAACCTCCCTAACCTCACATACATTCAGATCTACGACAGTTTGAGTTTCCACTACAGAGCACGTATGCAGAATTCAAACTCGTGTGATGACAACACTTCAGATAATTTGATTTGCAAAGCAATTCAGTTCCCAGACCCAAATCCAGTTTTTCTTTGCTTTTCAGTTTTATCCTTCTTAGTTTTCACTTCAGACCTTTAGTCTGTAGATCTAAAACCTCAAGCATTAACATCCTAATTTCATATAAGCCTGTGACATTCACAAATGTAAGTCACTTTCTGAGCAGCATAAACCAATAGATCACTAAAAGAAAGTAAATTCAGCCTCATAATTTGTGTGGGCTAAAAGGACAGCATTAAAGGCAAGTCAAATGACCAGACAAACCAACAGAAGTCAAATAGTCAAATATAAAATCCTCCCCTAGGAGCAGAAATTGTGTCTGAATACACAGTCCCAGAGAAGACAGAGGAAATGCAGTCAGTAGGACTGGGACAGGAACACAAGTGCACTTATTTACCTGTAACACACACATCCTGTACAGCCTATGCAAAGGTGAACTCTTGTTTATGGAGTGCAGTCTCCTGCAGTCTTTGTCTTTGAACTATGGCCCAGAGATACAGGGACCCAAGGACTACTAAGTCGATTAAAGGTAAACAAGAACAAGCCTGAACCCAACAGTCTTAATTCCATTGTTCTAGTTCATGTATCTCTTGATAATTACAAGGAATATCCCATATACTTCCATACTAATATTGCACTGTGAAGAGTAATTAATGGTAGCTATAAAGAAGTTTACCTTTAAGAAAGATTATTGCTTATTACAGAAGTCAGTGCACCTTCCACTAAGCACCTGGCATTTGTAGCTGCAGGGGTATAAATACATCCCAAATCTAAAACCTCAGTCATCACCATTGTAATGCTATTACAACAGGGGCCAGTAGCACAGAAGCTGGAAAGCTTTCTGACTGGAGTGTCTTCCTGTTTTACAAGGCAGCTTTTAGAGGGTTTAGCTCCAGGAACAGCCCTCATTTCTCTGTGTTTATCAGCCTTTCAGAAGATCTACACTAGTCTAGCCAGGTTTCCACACTCATTGTGGCACAGGCCATTCCCACAGTACTTTGGGAATGGTCTGGGAACACTGGGATTGCAAAACTCTGTGCAAACCTTCAACAACGTGATAAAATGGGGCAGTGTCACCTTGCACATGTCACTGAGGCCAAGCATAAACATGGCACTTCAACAGCAATACACCATGCCTTTCAGTGGAGGAGGGTTCTGGGGTGGGTGAGCTGGTTACATTGGCAAGACTGCAAGAAAGATACAGCTTACACACACAGTCCAACGCAGCTGGGAACACTGGAAGTGTTTCAGAAAAGCATTTCATAACATTTCCAAGCATAAGGATAAGAATCTCAAACCTTTCCAACTATGGGTAGCTCCACGGATCCCCACGTATCCGCTCCCCAGTGAAACAGTCCTGATAGAAAGTCAGCCGTAATAACTCCTGCAACTTGAACAGGGAGAGGGACAGTTAGATGTACACAGCAGTTTTAATGACATACATCTAATGTTTGGTTTATAAATTTACTTATTTAAGTCTAACTTAGATATTTACAACCACAGATCTACTCAATCTGACTAAACATAAGGTCAGACCAACTAGGAAAAAAGAAAGTCAACAAGACACCATTTGGATGGTTACCGTGTTCATTAAAGAGCAAGATTTTGTGTTTGGCCCATTTTCTACAGAAGAGCTTGACAAACCCTTACAATAGCTGGTATGGAGAACACCAGTTTTCCATCACTTATATCTGAATCACTTACATCTGCCCACCCTCCCTCTTCAATAGCGTTTAACAGATTACCAGGCTGTTAAACCATCCCAGCAGATAATGCTATCTGCAGACCCATCCTTTCCAACCTTGGTCCCTTATGTGGGTAAACAAGCAGCACTGCACACTGATGGGTACAGATAAGCACTAAGGAGGAAGCCATTCCTGGGTACAGTGATACTATTTACAAAACAAGACTGGAACACCAAACAGCTTGGAAACTGTGGCACCTGCAATGCTGTAGGCAAGGCCCCAGAAACCAGCTACCGAGTCTCTGTAAGGAACAGAGTGCGCTTGTGGTATTTGCATACCGAGTCAGATACACCACTAAACAGAGCTTATTGCAGCAAGATTTTTCTAGCTGCCAACTGCAATAACTTTAAAACCGTGGTCAAGTAAGGGTGATTTTTAGTTCATGCACGTAAAGCCCTATTTTTGCCTTCATTTTCTGGATAACCTACCTACCTGAGTTTCTGGCTAATCCTGACATTAAAAGTAAGGACACAAGAGATGGCATTTGATCAGAACAAGTGTATATTTTCCAGTCAGTCACAGATGGTGTTTAACAGACACCTATCGCTCTTCACCTGCAGAAGTCATCTGGCTCCCAGGTTCCCAATCCCTTTAGCAATGAAGTCTCCAGCACAGTCAGAGTTATTCTCCTGCATGCACTCCGCTGCCAGGCTGTGCTTTGGAGGAAGAAGATTTCAGCTCTTTCAGAGCTCCCTTGTTTTTAACTGAGAAGCTGGAGGAATGCGGCTGACAGCACAGCGATATGGCTATAGCAACACAGCAACGGGCGAGATACTGCCTCTGTGCTTGAGGCATTTCAGGCTGCCAGACCCTGCCCTTTACAGAACAAGAGGCAGTGGTTCTAGCATCGTGCTCTGAGCAGGTCTCAGATTAGCCAGGTCTGGATGGAGTCCAGATTTGCTGAAGGATAAAGCAAACTAAGCCTCAGGATCACTTCCACCCCCAGGGCCATCTCCTCAGGTGACAAAAACATCACAAAGATCTTCCTGTTTGTTTATTCTGAGATGGACCCCGCAGTGAACGTGCACCCAGCCATACCTGGTGATCCTCTGTGGAGCCAGTGCTCAGGCTCTGACAGGGAAGGCAGCACACACGTTACCTGCAGGTCTGGTTAAAGGAATTCAGCAGAAGCACGACCTAGATTTAATAGCAGCTGCTGCGTCCTGTGCAAATCCACCTGGGAACTGAGTGTCTGATCCCAGTGAAAATCCCTCAAAATCACCCACAGTTCACGCCAACTAAAGCACTCTGCACGGATCTTGCAGTCCACTGGTAAATGGGTCACAATAACAGAAATACAAAGACTGTGTGCTCAAAACATAGTTTCAAAGCAGCTCAGTTAGCAATTAGCTACTTTGGCACTGGCAGTCCTCATTGGAGCCTGGGGGTCCATAAAAAGCAGAGGAGTGGTCACAGGGCCAGGTCAGCGTGGCTGGAACCCAGCTCTTTAGTTTTTCCTCTGGTGTTTAGAATTATAGAATAGTTAGGGTTGGAAAGGACCTTAAGATCATCAAGTTCCAACCCCCCTGCCATGGGCAGGGATACTTCACACTAAACCATGTCACTCGAGGCTCTGGCCTTGAACACCACCAGAGATGGAGCATTCACAACCTCCCTGGGAAACCCATTCCAGTGCCTCACCACCCTTACAGTAAAGAACTTCTTCCTTAGATCCAATCTAAACTTCCCCTGTTTAAGTTTTAACCCATTACCCCTTCTCCTATCACTACAGTCCCTAATGAAGAGTCCCTCTCCAGCATCCCTATAGCCCCCCTTCAGATACTGGAAGGCTGCTATGAGATCTCCATGCAGCCTTCTCTTCTCCAGCCTGAACAGCCCCAACTTTCTCAGCCTATCTTCATATGGGAGGTGCTCCAACCCCCTGATCACCCTCGTGGCCTCCTCTGGACCAGTTCCATGTCCTTTTTATGCTGAGGACACCAGAACTGCACACAATGCTCCAGGTGAGGTTTCATGGGAGGAGGGGCAGGATTACCTCCTTTGACCTGCTGGTCATGCTCCTTTTGATGCAGCCCAGGATGTGGTTGAACCTAATTTACCAAATTAGGGCTGTTTGCAGCACTCACCCATTGCAACAGAGTCTTTGCTCCGAAAACAGCAGGAGCTGCAAAACAAGAGGTGATGTAGGACATTTATTTTCTGCTCTGCTAATTCTTCTTCTGCACTAACTCTTCCTCAGATGTCCATGAAGCTAGGAGGATTCCTGGCTTTCTCTTCCACTTGCCAGCATTTGTTTCTTCTATGTGTCTGAAGACTTTGTTCAAGCACTGCTTCTCATTTATAGCATTGAGGCTTTGCGATGGGCAGGGACCCCTTTTCCTATTATGATGTTAGGCAAGACAATTCCAACTCACTTGTAATCCAGTCCAAAAGTTAAAGTTGCTGTGTACTGGTTCATCTTGCTTTGATGTCACCTTGTTGCTCCTCCCTCCCTCACAGAAACTTAAAAGCAGTCTGAGATATGCCAGAACGCTACAACAAACATGCATCTTGCCCCACAAATCACACAACTTTTATTTACCCTGGTCAGGATCCAGACTGTGCCTGACTTTCCTACTCCAGGAAGCTTAGGGCAGCTGCCTTGAGAGTCCAGCTTAATGAAGTTCTTGTGACATTGGCAGGATTGCTAAAGAGCAGGTAATTTTCAAAGCATGACGGAGGAGTAGGTTGTTCTGTTACTATCAATCAAGTGTTCTTCATCTTCAGCGCACAACCGTTACCTACAGTGCATGCAGCACAGCACACTTCAGATGTAGCCCTCTTCCTAGTTACCATTTCCTTAGCTGATCCCTCACCTCTGCAGGCTTTCCCCTCACCTTTCATTTGCAAAAAGGGAGAAGAAATAGATTAGGATTAGTGTGGCATCTGCTACCCCAAAAGGCTTTCTTTTCCAATTAGAAATCAATCCCCACTGCTGAATCCATAATCTGTTTGGCCCAAACTCTTACATACAGCCAGAGATACGCCACCCTTTATGTATCACTTCATTGTACTGAACATAACTCCTTTTTAAGCAGTAAATTCTATAGACTTTTTTGTTTCAGGGCACACACTTAAGCTACAGTGAAATAGGGTGGAACACAATAGCTTTTAGATCTGCACCTAGCAGCTGAAAGAGCAAACTGCCTTGATTCAGGGGGAAGATATCCAAACAACACTCCACTTTGCAACGACTAAAATACCATTCTTGCTGAGGTAATCACCCTATTAACCCCCATCCCCTCCAGCACACTGCATTATCAGAGCTTGAAATAACAGCAGGAAAGTCAACAGAAAGAGAGGCAAAATACTGACAGTTCCATAGCTATTCCGTGTGTTACTCTGATGCCAGCTGGTAGAAAGCTAAGAGGAAAGAATGAAGGGTGCCTGAAGCAGTGCATTATACTAAAGCGGTATAGAAAAAACCTAACTACCAGAAACCTTTGTATTCAGCTGGACTGTAGAAGGGCTTGCTCACTCTGCAGCAGCTGTGTATGACACATCATAATAAAAGAGACAGAACTGAACCAAAGGTTATATACAGAGACATGACTAACATCATAACACTTCATTTGCATCCTGCCTCTGGACTCTGAAAGTACAAACAGCAATGTATTGAGCTCAATATTCTCATATACCTAGCACTGTCTTTAGGTAAAATGGGAAAACCAAGGCAGAGGTGTCCAGCTACTTCTCTAAGGTGGTATAAGAACTTGATGCTCTCTCATCAAGGCTGGGAAGGTGACAGAATTCATATTCAAGGCTGTCAGTCTTAAGAGTTTATTATAAAGTCAGAAAAGGCAGGATATTCACAATTTGGATATCTATGAACTGCAAACCATGGATTCACACACTCATGGGAAGCAAGACCAGTAAAGCATTAGAGAAACATAGCTCTGTGCACATTAGTTTTACTCCAGCCTGCTGAGCAGTGGGATGGAGGATCAGTCCACCCACAGCTTATAGCTTAAGAGGTGAGCACTCAGAAGGCACAGAAGGGGAAGAAGGCATTGTGGTTAAGAAATGAGCTGCAGAACTTGCTCAAAACATCAGGATTTGTTTCGGATTTTAGGCTGCTGAACCAGGGGAGAAGAAAAAGGCCTCGCAGACAGGGAGACCACAGGTGTGTGAATGAACCTCAACCAGCAGCAGATGGTTTAAAGTAAGTGAACACATGACTGATGCACACATTTGCTAAGAACAGCTGTTCTCTTCCAGCCACTTGTGATCCTTTGCTCGGGTGAGCCTGCAGGCACAGCAGCACCCTTGGGACACCACAGAGGGAGTGGGTGCCTCTGGTCTGAGTCAGGGGATGTGCCAGAGCATGACTGTGGTACTCAGACACCCAAATCACCTGCCAGGCCACGCTCAATGGCTCCAAGAGACGCTGCCCAAACATGCAGTCAACAAAGATGCCTTTGCTCCTGCTTGTGTTCTCTTCAGAAACAGGTAAAACATACGGGCTTGTGTCACAGAGCAGCCCCCACTCCTCCTCTTCCTTGCTTAGGTACCAAACTGAGGATTACAACCTGCAGCCTCAATAGACAAGCTCTCTCGTGAACCAGTCACATACCACTTCCTGCAACCCAGGTGCTCCCGGTGCGAGCAAAGGAAGCCACATGAAGTGGGACATTTGAACACCTCG